GCTTATGGGCTGAGAAAACAGCAGAGGCTGGCCCAAAGCCTTGGGACCCTGCACCCATGTGGGAGATCCAGAAGAGGCTCCTGGCTTCCAATTGGCTCGGCTCTGGCCATTGCAGCCATTATCTGGGGAGAGAACCAGCTGATGGGAGCTCTTTCTCTTCTCTCTGCAAATCTGCCTTTCCAATAAAAATTAATCTTACAAAAAAACAAAGTGAAGCACACTGTCTCAAACTCTAAATGCTGATTATTTTATCTTTAAAGATTTGTTCTTTGAAACACAGAGCCACAGAGAAGGAAAATTAGATCGTCCATCTTCTGTTTCACTCTCCTAATGGCCAGAGTGCAGGTCTCCATTGCAGGAGAACTCGGACCCTCTTCCACTGCTTCTCCAGGTACATTAGCAGGAAGCTAGATGAGAAGTGGAGCAGCCAGGACTCCAACTTGCACTCATGGGAGGCTGGTGCCACAGGAGGTAGCTTTTCCTGTTATGCCCCTTACACATTATTTTAGTCTGCACTACAACCCCATGGGTAGACGTTATTATCTCCATATTTGCAGGTAAGACTGAGCAAAATAGATGACGTTAGCTGCCCAGGGTCAGAGGGTGCTGGCAGGTGGCCCAGAGCCACGTGTGTGGTCTCTGGAAGCCTGCCTGTTTGCTTCGCAGTCTCTGTAGGATCTCCTCCCCTTGTCCTCCTGCCCACCCACCTGCTTGCACACCTGCCTGCAGCTTGGAGGGTGAGGGTGTGGTGTAATGTTGGGGAGGCCCCACTGAGTCACACCGCTGGACTCCTGGCCAGCCCAGGGCAGGATTAAGATGAGAGGCAGCCTTGAACCTGCCCTTGCGTTCTCCTCCACATTTCTTCTTTACCCTTCCTTGTGAGGAGCTGCCCACCCCACCTCCCAGCCATCTTCATCCTGCCCCTGCCAGTCCTGCCTCCAGGCCAGGAAACCTCCAATCCGGTATTGTTTCTCTCCCTGGCTTCCGGCCAGCCACCAGCTCTCTGGGGTGGAAGGCAGCAGGTGGCTTAATTCCATGAAAGAACAAAAGAGGGCTTACCTGCTGGTGGGCTCTGGGGTCCAGGGAGGTGAGCACTGGCTCCCTTGATGTGTGAGCTACCTTAGTCCAGCCTCTGCACTCAGACGGCATCTGCCGGATGTCTGGACCTGCCCCTTCCTCCCGTGCCCTCCCCCTCGCCACCAGGGCCCCAGCCAGTACTGCCCTTGCTGGCCCAAAGATCCATCTCCAATGGAAACCTCTGAGGCTTCGGTCTCCCCCTCTGTAGGTGAGACTGGAAACAGCCACCCTTTCCATGTGATGGGAGGGTTGGAGACTTTGCTATATGAATGTATTCAAATAATAGAGTGTCCTACAGGCAACGAGGGAATTGGTGTAGCGCAGAGCGGACGAGATCCACTTTGGGTTGGCATGGGGCCAGGAGTGGGCACCATGACATAGAATCATGAGAAGTGGGACATAGGCACTAAGCCAAGGTGTGGAAGGAGGGGCAGAGGGGTAGGGCTGGTCTAATCAGATGGACAGTCCAGCAGAAGGCCTAGCTTCTAGGACCTGGCCTATAGAGATAGCCCAGTTTGTTTACCCCACTCCAATGTCCACCCCAACCCCGACTACCCTGGAGAGGAGTAGCTGGCACCTCACGGGACCCCATCAGAAGCATCATCATCCTCTGTGGTTTTTTTTTTTTAAGATGTATTTTGTTTGAAAGGCAGATTTATAGAAGGAGAGATCCTCTGCTGGTTCACTCCCCAAATGACCACAACAGTCAGAGCTGGGCTGATCTGAAGCCAGGAGCCTGGAGCTTCTTCCAGCCTGGAGCCTGGACTTGAGCCGTCCTTCACTGCTTTTCCGGTCTATAAACAGGAGGCTGGGTGCGAAGTGCAGCAGCCAGGATTAGAACCAGTGCCCATATGGGATGCCAGCACCATAGACAGAAGCTTAACATACTACACCACAGCCCTAACCCCAGATTATGTTCCTCTTGAGACAACTGGACCCCAGCTACAGCTCCTGGCTGTCTCCGTACCATGCACAGGCTTTGGTATCAAAGGTGGAGGACTTCCTAGAAGGTAGTAAGAAGATGAGAACCTTTTTGTTGGTGAGTGAGAAAATCCTACTTCAGATGGGCAGGTTCACCGGTTGCTGGCATTGCAATGACCACCAGCAGCTTCAGGCACAAATGAATCCAGCCATTCCCTGGATTAGAACTCTAGTTCCTCACTTGGCTCCTCCATGTTGTTTCCTCCACGTTGGCACGACTCAGGCAGGCTAGCTTCCACTCACGACAGATACATCCTCCTCCAGCTGCAGGCCTTTCCCCTCTCCTACCTCCCCTAGCAAGCAGAAAAGACCTGTTTCCAGCTCAGAAAATCTAGAGCTGAGGCCGACGAGTCCAGGTTCAGGCCACACGCCTGTCCATGAACCAGTGATGGCGGCCAGGGGGCAGGCCGACGACGCCTGGGTCAGTGAGCTCCAAGTGGCACTCCAAAGAATCAGCAGCTCTTCTACAAATGGCAGAACCAGATGTTGGGCAACAAAAACAGCAGCTGTCTTAGAGCGAGTGGAAAGTGCCACCCCCCTGAGGGTATGTTCAGAATCTAGGGGGAGCCGGCAGATGCCAGCCAATGCTGACCAAGTTATACCCCCTTCTCAGCTGAGATGACCACAAATAGCTCTCAGCATTGCCTGGTGTCCTCCCCCTGCCCCTGCCCGAAGCAGGGGAAAATAGCTTCTGGATAAGATTGCTGGCTGGAGTGGGGCCGTAAGATCCCAGAGGCACCTGCCGTCTTCCCCAGCGTGAGGCTGGGTGCTCTGGGGGTGACCTTGAAAGGCTGCTGTGTAGTGTGAGTGTGGGTTCTTGCTGAGGGTTGCTGGATTTGAAGAGACATCCGAGGGTTCTTCTGCCCTAGCCGGGAACAATGACGTTTTGTTCCGACACATCCAGTCCTCTTTATTTTTAGCAGTTGATGTCCTTTTGTGTGTGTGTTTAGTTGCTTTTATTTGAAAGAGCAACAGAGATAAAGAAATCTTCCATCTGCTGGTTCACTCCCTGAATACCCATCATGAGTTAGACTGAAGCCAGGAGCCTGGAACTCCATCCAGGTCTCCCATGTGGGGTGCAGGGGTCCAAACACTTGGGTCATCCTCCGTTGCTTTTCCAGATGCATTAGCAGAGAGCTGAATTGGAATTGGAGCAGCCAGAACTTGAACAGGCACCTGTATGGGATATTGGCACCACAGGCCAGAAGCTTTACCCACTACACCGCAGTGCAAACCTCCAAAGCCATTCTGTGGAGGATAATGATTCCTGAAGGATGTTACTCTGGAATATCCTCATTGAAAATAGGTCATGGTAATGGGCAAGTTTAAAATGTTCAGAGTTGGGTATTTTAACCTGTTGCATGATCTCTGAAGTGGCTCAATCAAAAGCACTTGGTGAGTTAATTGAGTGATTATATGCACCACAAGTAGCATACGGACAGGCATGAGTGGCCGCAGTGGTGTCTCTGCTGACCTGTGCGGCAGGGACCTTGGATAGCAGGCACTGCAGGCTGGGGCACAGCCTCACTGTTAAATTTCCTGGAGTGGGCTGCTGGTGAGAGAGCATCCCCTGCCATGTGCCATCTGTCCCAAGCCTGCAGGCGAAGGAGCTGGTCCCATGGCACCAGGTACCCTCCCCCACTACAGCATCTATCCTTCATGCCCGTCAGTGGCCTCACAGCCAAGGCTGGATCTGAGATGCATGCCTTGCAAGATCTCCGCAAAGAAGAGAGAGGTGGTCGATACCGCATTTACTTAGAAAAGCTCCAGGGAGGGTGGCTGGGTACAGCCCGTCACGTGGGCGGAACTCAAGGCTGAAGTGCCCAGAGGCAAGCCTCAAGAGTAGACTGCTGGGAAGACGGCAGTGGCAGGTGCCACAGGGGGCATTCCGGATGAATGAAGCTGTCATTCATCTGCTGCTGTGTGCTGGCGTCTGTTCCCGTGGTTTTCATTGGGCAGATTCACCCTCCACTCTTCAGGGGTTGTGGAAAAGCCCCCACAACACAGCATGGTCTGGCCCACCAATGAACAACAGAGATGCCTCCCTCCTTACTAACCACATCTTACAGTGGCAAAAGCCAGGAAAGGGAGGTGGAGAAGAGGGAAAGAGAAAAACCAGGGAAATGGGGAGAAGAGAGACAGGCATAACAAGCTAAGAAACGTTAACAGGAGGCTCAAGAGGGAGGAGTCGGCTGTGATGTTGGCCGAGGTCTTTGTTGCCTGTTGAGCTGGGGCAGTCTGGTGGGGCAGTGTTTCTTGTAAGAGTGGAGGTGTCTTAACAGGCAAGAGTCCCCAGGGATGAAGAAGTGGGCCTTGCTTGCCCCGCCTCACTAGGGGATCACCCTTACACACATTGGCCACCGTGGACCAAAATGTCCTTGTGTGCAACAGCTACCCGTTGTGATATTGTGAGACACTAGGAGGCTTTCCAAGGAGATGCTGCTGGGACCAGGGTTGTGGGTCTTTGACAATTGTTGCTGTCTCTTGGACACCTGTTGTATCATCTGTGAGATGGAGGTCACAATGAAGTACCTCAGAGGCCATTGTGAGGGCTGGCCATGCCCAGTTCCTGGCCTGGTGTGCCTGCCCAGTCCCTGGGTGCTCTGAGCATTTTGAGCCTAAGGAGGGGCATATCTTGTTGCTCTTCCCACAGTGGCCTGGCTGTGACTACCTTTCAAGCCTCTGTCTGCTTTATCCCCTGCCTTTTGGAGAGGTCAGACGGGTGGGGAGCCTCGAGTTTGGAGAATTCCAGAGGAAGTCGAGTCTGTCCCCCTAGCCTTGCCCAGCTGCTGGCATTGACTGCCTGGAGGCTGTTCGCTGCTCTCAGCCAAGCCAGAACCAAAGTCCTCTAGCCAGCAGCACCAAGCTACAGCTGGGTTTGATGAGAGGTGGGTCCTGACAAAGAACTTCCCCTGAATCCATCTTCTCTCTGACTTTCCTAGCACGTTCCTGGCGTCAGGAAGAAAGATGAGGACCCACCAGGTGCTCGCCTGCCTCCTGCTCCTGATGGCCACCTCTGTGGCCTCGGAAAACGCCAGCACATCCCGGGGCTGCGGGCTGGACCTTCTCCCTCAGTATGTGTCCCTGTGTGACCTGGATGCTGTCTGGGGCATCGTGGTGGAGGCAGTGGCCGGGGCGGGTGCCCTGATCACACTGCTCCTGATGTTCATCCTGATGGTGCGGCTGCCGTGCGTCCGGGACAAGGAGAAGAGGAAGCCGGCCTGCCTGCTGTTTCTCTTCCTCCTGGGCACCCTGGGCCTCTTCGGACTGACCTTCGCCTTTATCATCCGCATGGACGAGACTATCTGCTCCGTGCGCCGCTTCCTCTGGGGCGTGCTGTTCGCCCTGTGCTTCTCCTGCCTGCTCAGCCAGACATGGCGCGTGCGGAGGCTGGTACGCCAGGGCTCGAGCCCGGCAGGGTGGCAGCTGGTGAGCCTGGCGCTGTGCCTGATGATGGTGCAGGTCATCATCGCCACTGAGTGGCTGGTGCTGACTGTGCTGCGGGACACGAAGCCGTCCTGTGCATACGAGCCCATGGACTTCGTCATGGCCCTCATTTACGACATGGTGCTGCTGGCCGCGGCCCTGGGGCAGTCCCTCTTCACGCTGTGTGGCAAGTTCCACCGGTGGAAGCTCAATGGGGCCTTTCTCCTCATCACCTCCTTCCTCTCAATGCTCATCTGGGTGGCCTGGATGTCCATGTACCTCTTTGGCAACACCATGCTGCACCAGGAAGAGGCCTGGAACGATCCGACCTTGGCCATCACACTGGTGGCCAGCGGCTGGATCTTTGTCGTCTTCCATGCCATCCCTGAGGTCCACTGCACCCTCCTGCCACCCCTGCAGGAAAACCCACCCAACTATTTTGACACAGCACACTCAAGGATGCGACAGACAGCATTCGATGACATGCACCTGCCACGCACCTATATGGAGAACAAAGCCTTCTCAATGGACGAGCAAAGCTCAGGTAAAGCAGATGTTACCCGCTTCCCTCACCTGGGGCTGTGCACCCCCAAAAAACTTTGTCTCTCAGTGAACTGAGGGATCCTCATCCCAAAGGTGACCACCCAGCCACTTGGGACACAGACAGTCCCTGTGCAAAAGTGGAATTTTTGCTTTTTAAAGCTTTTGCTTATTTTGTTGGCAAGGCAGAGTAACAGGGAGAGAGAGATGGAAAGAGAGATCTTCTGTCTACTGATTCATTTCCTAAATAGCCACAAGAACCAGGGCAGGGGCCTGGGCATAGCCAGGGGCCAGGAACTCCTTCCAGCTCTCCCGTGGCAGTGGTAGGCTTGAGTACTTGGGCCATCATGTGCTGCTTCCCAGGCAACATAGCCAGGACTCAAACCTTTACTCTGATATGATGGGACAAGGTGCTGTTAGTGGGGGCTTTAACCTGCTGACCACAACACCTACCTCAAGATAGGTATTATTTAGCTTCGTTCCTTAGCAGTTGCCAACCAGATGATTGTAAAAATGCTGGTTTCTGGCTTCTTCTGAAAAGCCAGATCTGGAGATCTAGAATGGCCTGGAGCTGATCCGAGCTACAGAGTGTAACAGAAGGGCCCTGGACAAGCCATGGACACCCTTGAGATGCTATTGCCCCAGCACCTCCAAATCCAGCTCCAACTTGTCTGCCTTCATTCCCTGGCTCCCTGCGAGTGCTGCAGTTTGCAGTCACTTCACTCCTGTCCTTTCCCCTCCCCTCCATGTCATGTGTGTGGAAATTTGGGCTCAGGGGTGAGGTGGGGATATCTAGGTTTGAAAGTCCACCCCTACCACTTCCTAAATGTGCAACATTGAACCAAGTGCATTTCCTGTTTGGGCATCAGCTTTTGCCTGCATGGGAGAGGCAACCCAGCGAGTCCCACACTCCTGGCTGTGAGGAGTGCATGTCTTCCTGGAGTCCCAGAGAAGGCCAACTTGGAGACAGGGTTGGGGTGCAGGTGCTGAGCTAGTGGTCCTGCAGAGGGGCCGGGTTGGAAGAAAGACTCCCAAATAGGTGCATTCATGAGCTCATGACCGCCACAGGCACCTGAGGCTGGCTACTGGGAATCCCTCCGAACCTCACAACAGCCTGGGGAGGACATGAGGCTGGGGCATCTGCGCCCTACAAACTCTCGTTTGTCATTCCTTGTAGCTCTAGTGTGAATGGACTGAGAGGGGCCCATTGTGTACCGGGGTAGAAACGCAGATGTGCAAGGCACTGTGGGTAGACATGAGGCCCCCAGCCCTGTTCCTGGGCCGCAGCAGCAGGATCCAGAGGTGAGGTCACAATGGCACCCACGCCCCTCCTGGCCAAGTCCCTTCTAGGATCATTGCTTGCAGACAATTGGCCAGGTTCCCAGCACTCAATGTAATCCCTTCACCCCTCAGTGACCCAAAAATGCACGAGAGATGACAACAGCAGTAACAGTAATAGCAAGACTAAGACCTGTTTCCTGGTGTAGCCATCATCTGTGGAGTACTCTATTCTAGGTCTTCAACCTGCATCACCTCCTTGGTTCTCGCCACCACCCATTTGATAGATGAGTACATGGAGGCTCCAGCAACTTCAGTGGCTTTCCAGGGCATAGATAGCCAGGAGGCGGTCCCTTTCAGACGGGTACTTTTTCCAGGACACTCTCCTAGGTGCCTGGAATGACACTGGCCTTGCTCAGCAGTGGAGCATCCTACACCTTGTTGGGGTGAGCGCTGATATCATGACAGCCCTGTGATGGGATGGGCATTTGGCACAGCAGTTCGGGTGCCCCCTTGGATACCGACATCCTGTAAGAGAATGTCTGGTTCAAGGCCAGACTCCACTTTTGATCCAGCTTCCTGCTAGGGAGGTAGCAGTGACAGCTCAAGTGCTTGGATCCATGCTGATCCACAGGGGAAGCCTGGAGTGAATTCTGGGCTCCTGGCTTGGGCCTGGCCCAACCCTGGTGGTTGTAGCCACTTGGAGAGTGAAACAGTTAAGTTTCTCTTTCTCTCTCTCTCTCTCTCTGCCTAACTTTGAAACGAATGAAAAATACTTTTTAAAAAATCCCCTGAGGTCAGGGGTTGCAGATGGGAAATTGAGGCTGTGACCTGCCCTACCATGCAGGGTAGGATCTGAACCCCGGCAGGCTTGCTGCAGAGCCCACACCCTGCAGGTGCCCAACCTCAGTGGCTTGTCCAAACAACCACATTCAGAAGGAGGGGTGTTATCAGTCACCCATTTCACAGAACAGAACACTGAGTCCCAGAGTCGCCCTGCAGGCACCATGTTCAAGCTCAGGCTGGGAAAGCAGGGAAGGGGAAAGCTGGCTTCCTGAATCTGCTTACACCTGTCTAGCAGAAATGCAGTCAGTACTTCAGGCCCACTTGGGTCTCATTTGGTAGGAACGGTATCAGGGCGAGCCCAGGGTCTGCCACCCACACCCTACACCTGTTTTGTATCCAGATACTCCAATCCAAAGTAATCTTTTTATTCTCCTCTTGTTCAAAACAAAATGACTGCCGTCTTGGGGGGCATGGCCATAACACATCTGTAGTTTGCAAGGAACAATGCAACTTCAGCCAGTGAGAATGCAAAAGTTGCTGCAAGTCCCACTGCCTATAGGGGACTGGCACGCACATACCCCGTGTTTCAAGCACAGCCCACATGGCAAGACGGCAGAGCCACTCTTTCTTAAAAAGTTAGTTATTTGGAAGCAGAGGGAAGCAGGAGACAAAGACATTGATCTTCCTTCGACTGGTTCACTCCCCAAATGACCACAACAGCCGGAACTGAGCCAGTCCTCTGAAATTTCATTTGGGTCTCCCATATGGGGGTGGTCAGGGGCCCAAGTACTTAGGCCGTTTTCCACTGCTTTCCTGGATGTATGAATGGGAAGCTAGAGCAGAAGTGGAGCAGCCAGAACAGGATGTCAGCACTGTGGGTGGCAGCACAAAGCCAGCCGAAAAACCATTTTTAACCTGGCCACATGTTGGATTCATCTGGGCTGCTTAAGAAAAATGCCCACCTCGTTCTGGCTGAACGCAGCCAAGTTTGGGATTGGATAGTTTTGTAAGGTCCTCCAGATGATCCAAAGACATAACAGGTGCCGCCTTTTCTCCTACCTGCCAGCTTTTGGGGTTCTGTTCCTTGGAAAGTTGAGAAGGGCCCTCTCCAAGCTGCTGTGTGGCTCTGCCAGGCCCCAGCAGTCTCCACCTGCTTATTTCCTAACCCCAGGTACCCACAACCTCTGCAACCTATTGCCTATTAATAATGTGCACCACAGGTGTGAAGGATGTGGTGAAAGACAGACATTGGAGGGAACCAGCACCTACGTATTGGAGAGCATTAATGGGGCACATGGCAATGTTCAAGAAAAGTATCCCGTCTTCTCTCAAGGACTTGGGGCCTGAGGTTATCTTAGGGCCAAGGGCTGTGGCCGCAGACCCTCTCCTTGTTGCTGGGAGACCCTGAGCTGGCTTGTCACCTGCAGTGGACATGTCCCGTTGGTCTTTAGATCTGGATAAAGTATCAACCTTCTGGCTTCTTGAAGTGAGTTGTAACTGATAATCATAGGCTAATGCATACAAAAAATAAATTAAAAGTATACTGAGAATCAGGCTTCAGGCACAGTTCTATGCAGGAGACTGCAGGGGTGACGTGACTAGGTCTGTCACAAGCATCTCAGCTCCAGCCTACCAGGAGAGACTCCATGGAAAATTAGAACATCTCCCAAGATGCTGGAGCCAAAATAACCAGAGTTCACTGTGATTGGATCTGACTATCCTGCCCTGGACCAATCAGGGAGATGTGATACCCTGATTGGCTGGACCTATGTCACACACCCATCTCAGAGGCCAGGGAAAAGACACTTCAGCCTGCACTCAAGGGAGACCCACAAGTAACGCCTGCCGAGAGAGAAGGGCTCTTGTCCCGGGCCCTCCATTGTTGGGCTGTGGTGTCAAACCTCTGGTTTTTGGAAGGGAGTGTGTCTGGTATGGCTGTCCCTACTAGGGCAAGTGTAGGCCAGGAACTAAGAGCAGGAGGGCAAGGACTACCTCCAAGCAATGCCCCCGTGAGTCCCTTTGCTCTGCCTGTGTGCAGTGAGCACAAGGTCTTGCAGGTGCTGTAGCAGGAGGAGTCTGCACACTGTTGTGCTAGGACACACGTTCCCCAACCTGCCGGCTTCGAGCAGCCCCCGGGTCCCTGAAATTCAAGTTGCTCTAAGTAACAAGTGTGATGGTCTAAAAACCAGTATGCAGAGCCAATACGATGCAGTAGCCAAGAACGAGTTCTCTGCCAGGTCCCCACACTGGTTCTGCCTCTTACTAGCTGTGCAACCTTGGACAAACTGCTGAACTTCTCTGTGCCCCATGCCAAGTGAGAAATAAAGCGTGAACATGCAATGAATGCATATATACTTGACATGGAATGTCACTTTGTGAAGGTTGCTTCTAGTGCTAAGATAAGTTGGGTTCTATCCCAAGCAATCTGTAAACCAAAACAAAATGAATAAGAAAGCGAACTCTTAGAGGCAGACAGGTGCCTGGCGGGACCTGAAGGCGAGGCCTTTTCTTAGTAATTCCATGAGAAGGGACGTTGTGGCGATGCCATGCACAAAGACTTGTGTTTGCGGTTTTTAAGGTTGATTTATTTGAAGGGCAGAGTGGTAGGAGAGACCGCTCTTCCACCCCACTGGCTCACTGCCTCACATGGCCTCAGCACCGAGGGTTGAGCTAGGCCAACCAATGGCACTCACTCCATCCACGCAAGTCTGAATCCCCAAGCCAGAGCCCACTGCACGGCTTCACAGGAAGTTGGGTGAAAACCAAGTGTCCGGGATTCAAACCAGAGAGTCCCTAGAGGTGGCTCCACCTGCTACGCCATGGTTCCCACCCCTCACAGATCCTATCAGGGCAGTTTTACATTGAGATTGGGCAGGAAGTGCAGGCAGTTTTGTCAGTGCCTTCCTGCTCAATGCTTGTATTAGTTCTGTGTTGGCTGCAGCTACTGAACACAGAATTCACTGAAGTCCTGTCTTAATTAGTCCTCCCTGTACCGCACACAACCCTGTGGGTTTTGACAAACGCATTGGGACATGTATCTGTTATGTCATATGGAAAAATTTCACTGCCCTACAAACGCCCTGTATTCTACTTTTCCATCTTGCCTTCTCCTCTGTCGCAGGTGAATGCTGGCTAATGTTTCACTGTCTCTATCACTCTGCCTTTTGCAGAATGTCCTATACCTGGAGTCCTATAATAAATAGCTTTGCAGATGGGCCTCTTCTCCTAGGCAGTAGTTACCTTTCCCCTGTGCCTGTCTAGGTTCATCTGATTCTTCTTTCAAACCTCTAAAAGTGTAGCAAGATGCAAGCTTTGTGATACAATGGGTGAAGCCACTGCTTGAGACCCCCACGTCCCTTAGCAGAGTGATGGGGATTGAGCCCCACCCCACCTCTGCTTCTGACCCAGCTTCCCACTCATGTGTGGAGGAACAGAGCATGGGCCAGGTCCTTGGGTTCCTGCCACCTGCCTGGGAGACCCAGTGGAGTTGCTAGCTTCAGCCTGGCCCAGCCCTGGCCAGGCTCTTGGCATTTGGGGCAGTGAAGCAGTAGATCTGTGTGTCTGTGTGTACACATGTGCCTGTGCGCACATGCGCACTTCTTGCTATGTCACTGTCCCTTAAGTCCAGTAAGGAAGAGACCTACTCAAGTTTCAAGGGTTAAATTGCTATTGCACTTTGCTGTTTTGTCCCTACTCAGCAATGACCTTCCTTGGTGGCCAGGTCACTTTCTCACAAAGACTCTCGAGCACTGCTGTAAACTGGATGTGCAGTCTCGAGGTTCCCACCTCTGAGCATGTGCAGGGTTTGAAACCCATGTCATTGAATACCACGTGGATGGCACTGTGTGGCGAGGCGGGCCTCCGCCCAAGACATGTAACCCCCATGGCCTTGGGCAGCAAGGAGGGGGCCCCTTCACCACCAAGACTCTGGAGAACAAAAGGCCCTTTGTGACTTGTGCCTTGAATCAGGCCAAGGTGGGGAAGAGGGTATGAGCATGTTGTAGGTTGAAGGAAGTAAACAAAATTGAGGGATTTGTTGTTTTTTTATGTCTGTTTCTTTTTGGTGCTATCTTCTTGCCAATCCCTTTCTTCATCCCTCCCACAGCTCGCCGTTCAGCAAGATTTTCCAATGGCAGCTTGGGGAAAAAGCACAGTGGCAGCATAGGGAAGAAACGCAGTGGCAGCTTGGGGAGGAAGACCAGCAGCGGCGGCAGCAGCGTGGGCAAGAAGCACGCTGGCGGGGAGGGTGGCGGTGGTGGCGGAGGCAGTGGCGGCAGCGTGGGCAAGAAGCATGGCGCAGGCTTGGGGCACAGACCCAGCGCTCCATTCAGAAGCAACGTGTACCAGCCGACCGAGATGGCCGTGGTCCTCAACGGGGGCACTGTGAGTACCCATCTGGGCTGGGCAGGCTGCGGGGAACAGCTAGGCTAGGACGCTTGCAGTGTGTCCGCTACCCACTTGCACGTAGTTGTTTGTGCATCCGTCCATCCGTGGGTCTACCCAGTGACTTCTGTCACTTTTGTGCTCCAGCTCTGAGCCCTCTATCTCTTTGGGAGGTGACATAGAGGACACCTGACATCCTTCAAGTCCCGTTACCCCAGGGCTTTTGTCTCTATGGCCCATTTGGGGCTCAGGTCTTCCCAAATGCAATGAAAGCAAAGGCCATTTCTGCCCATCAAACTCAGATGCCAATTCACTATCTGACGCCAAACAGAACACCAGCACGATTGTCTTTTTTTTTTTTTTCCTACTTTCTTTTTGCCTCCATGGAATTGCATCATTGTGCTGCTCTGGCAATCTAGAGATGTGCTCTCATTCCCACATTGGCTTTCCCATCGTGGCTACATGCTTCTTTCACAAACAATGCAGGAGCCAGTTTACAGGTGTAAATTGGGTCTCCATCTTTGAATGCTATATGTCCAGTGCATAAGTCAACCTGAGATTTTTGTTTCATTGGGGTTTCCGTCGCCCCTTCCCCACCCCATCTCTCATGTAAAGTCCAGCAGGCCTCTGCTGTTTAGGAGAACTTGAGTTTTGCTGGCCCTCTTATGGGATACTACGCCTTGGTTTGCAGGGTCTTAGGACAGGTTCAAAGACAAGTACAAGCAAAGACTTACATCTGTTGGGCTGTTGGGCTGTCTGGCAGAAAGTTTGACTCCCAGTCACTGGGCTTGTGTGGGTTACAGTCAGTGCAGTGGGAAAGTGCCCCATTGGTCCCTCAGAGCTTCCCCGTCCGCCCGGGCCCTTCAGGTCAGAGCTTAGCAAATGACAGGTCCTGGGTGAGCAAATGGCACCTTCCCTTGGGGTGGCTGATGACAGGGCAAGGCAGCAGCTCCCCAAGGAAAATGGGGCAGCCCAGTACAGAGGTGGCTCCAGGAAGAACTGGCCTATCTAGGTGACAGGTAGTGCTGTGTGGTCTGGTGCGCGTCTGCTGTCATCCCTGACGAGCCCAGAGCTCTGAGCGTGTTGTCCTTATGTTATTCCAGATCCCCACCGCTCCGCCATCTCACACTGGAAGACACCACTGGTGAAAGACTTTTTAAGTTCCAGAGAAAAAGCATCTCTCTGACCCGTGTGACTCCCTTGGCTGTGTCTTTTCTTGAGGGAGAAAAACGGTCACCGTAGCCAAGCCAGGCCACCTCACAGCCGGGAGATTGAGAAATCCTAGCCAAGGGGAGTTCGTGTAAATGTGAACTTTGATGAACTGAAAAGCTAACACCGACTGCCCTTGCTGCCTGTGACATACACACACACACACAGTCTACCAAACCAACCTCAATCCCCCCGCCAACTAAAGCAAAGCTAACTGCAAATAGTATTAGGCTCCCTTGAAAATGTGGCTGGGAAGGCAATATCATCCCTAGGGGAGCTAGAATAGTACCACATTCATAGCTGGTGGGCCAGGCTGGTGCTGGTGGCATATTGGGATGAGGAGTAGGGGGTCTCGACTCCTACCCCAGTGCCCTTCCCCAGCATGTGTGGATGGACAACCAACCAATGCCCAGTGGCCTCTTAGAGATGACTATCGCATAGAGGATAAAGACACATAGGGCCTGTTCCACCAGGTCCCTGGTGGTCTGTGCATGTCACAGGTGGGCTGAGAAAGTGACGGAGGCTGAGGTTGTGACTCCCAGGCCACCAAGTTGTGGAGTGAGCTTTAGAGCCAGTAGCAGTTGGTGTGCAGGGGTCCTGGGTATGGAAATGACCACCTTGCAAAAGCAGTGACCAACCGTACCACATCTTCTATGGGCCTCTCGCCTTGGCACCTATGGCCAGACAGCAGGCCCTGCCTCCTTCCCTTGCAGAGCCAGAAAGACCTGCTCTGCAGTGAGATAGTGAGAGCTCTTCTCCCCGTCTCCCTCTTCTGCATTTATGGACCTGGCCTCCAAGCCTAGGCCCAACTTCATTGCCAGGTTCATGTGTAGCACTCAGGTGGGAGGCCACCAGCGCGAAGCCCCATCCAGGGGGCAGGCTAGAAAGTTGGGTGGGAAGCAGCAGGATGATGTTATTTGAATGACATCACACCTTGGAGCCTCTCAGGGCTTGCCCTCTACAGTGGCACTGACTTCCCGGGTCTTCTCTGTTGACCCTGGGAGAGCTGGCAGGTGGAGTGGGTCAGGTGAGAGCTTGCTTCTAGAGGAGGCAATGAGGGAGGGAACATACATTTCTGCCCTGGTTTTCTACCAAGTCCATTGTTTCTGCCTTGGTTTCCATCCATCCTCAGCAAGTCATTCCTTTGCTCCTTGGCCTCGCCCACATCTCAGCTGTTCAGAGCCCCTCACCTCCACCCCCTTAACACCGTGTTCTTGGCACTGTTTGGCCAGCATAATCGCCAGCAGAAGACACGGAAGGTAGTGGTGGGGGTGGGTTCTTTGGCATAGGCCTGATGGTGGCTGCGTTGCTTTCCCTAAGTAAGCCTTTAACCCTTCAAGACACTGAGAAAGGGGAGTGCCAGTGGAGGAGGTATGAACCCAGCCATCCAAGCTGGGCATGATTTAATAAACCTGATTTTTCTCAGCCCCCATCTTTACTGTTCCCCCCTCTACCCCACTGCCCTCTGTACTCCTATCTGTGGAGAACACTGGGGGTGGGGGCAACACGACCAGACAGACCACCCCAGGGGGACCCTCCCTTTTGTTTCCCACCATGAAGGGCACCAGACCACCACCTCACCCAGAGCGTGTGCTTGCTTTCTAGACAATTTATGTCCCACCCTCTACTCTGGGCTACTGAGCTGGGGGTCATCCTGGAGGGGAAGGCAGGGGGCAGGGAGGGTGCATGCAGACAGACCCCAGGCGCACTACCCTGCCTGGGTCCAGTCTGGTAAGAGACGACAGCCTTGCGCCTTCTCATGCCAGGACGTGACTGCCCACCCCCGCGCTCTGGAGTCCTTTGGAGTGACTTGGTGTGCAGAAGCCCCCGCCCTCCCCACTCCTGCAGAAGGGAGCAGTTCACCCGGTCGTTAACTCTAAGTTCTGTGTTGTCCACGTGCTGAAGGTGCGAAGAGCATAAATGGTAGGAGGGGAGACAATCTCATCTCCCTCCCACCAACTCACCTCCACCCCATAGAAACAACCGCCATGGAGGACTGGCAAGCTCCCTGCCTAAGGAGACACTTAAAAAACAAAAATCTGGTAGGTTATTGCACTTTGGGGGTTTGTTTTATTTTGGTGTCAAGGTCAAGACCAGGCTGAACACCTTCAGCATAGTTGGGGGAGAGGTACTGGGGCAGGCAGGCAAAGGCAGGAGGGACAAAGGGGGAAGATGGCTGTTTGTCCAAGGACTTTACCCCAAGCCCACCAGGAACAGCTGTGCCGTGGGACTGTGGCTATCCTGCAGTCCCCCACCTCTACCCCCTCCATGTGGAGCAAGGTCTAAGTACAAAGTTCAAAGGCACCTCTGCTGTGATAGGGAGAAAAGCCCCCAGGAGAAGCGCTTCTGTGATCAGAACCCTTGTTGTAAGCACAAATCTTTTCATGCCTGGTTATTAGAATCGCTTTGGGACTCAGCCGCTGCTGTTAACCTGCTTCTCCTAGAGAACTTGTTCATCCATCTAGCCTTGATCTCTGCCTGCCGGAGAGGGAGGGCGAGGAATGGGGGGAACCAGCACCGAGAAGCTTACAGACTGGGAAGTTGGGAGTGGCTCCAGGAGCCTGGAGAGGCTGGGAGCTGGGCACGTGCAGGGCTTTTTGGGTTTTTGTTTTTGTTTTGCTTTGGTAGCACAATTGCCCGCTGCAAGCCTGAAGTGCAGCTTGGTTGGCTGAGGCTGTGTTGAAGGTCTCATGCTGCACCCCAAGCAGCCTAGGGAGCGATGGTGGCTTTTATAATCCAATGATGCGATGAATCTACCAGCTTCTGGGCACGCTTTTGGCAGGTGCTTTTTATTAATTAAGAAAGAGCAAAGGCTCGGGTTTTTTGGATAGATAATATATATTTATTAAATGTATTAACGTGTGTTTTATAAATCTTCCTCCGGCTGACTGGCCTACTTCTCCAAAACAAAAAATCTCATTCAATGTCAAGACAATCCACCTGTACTCTACATGACTGTATGTAAATGTTGCAGATTTGAAGAGTTCTAAAGCATGGGCAGATAGGTTTTATTTTCCAGATGCTGCTCTTAACATGAAAATAAAGGCTTTACTATTTACTTAATGTTGTGTAGTTGTGTGTGGCAATGAACTGGTGTGCACAGCCAGGGCTGTTAGTGGCATCCGTAGAGTTGTGAAAGGGAGAATGCTGGCTAGCAGGCAGCCACGGAACAAAGGAGGGTGATACGTTAATTTGTCTGCCACAGCAGCAACTTTTCTGTAAGTCTTGAGGGCCCAGACAACACAAATCTGCTGTTTGAGTTGTTTGGGGTTCAGATAGCCCAGCCTGTTGGGCTTATAGGAAAACTTAGGGACCCATCTCTGGCAAAAATGATTGTAAGCAATGATGTCTTGTCTTTTTCAATCAAAAACAGCACAAAGATAAAAACTGAATTTGGAGGTTAGGGACTTAAGGTAGGGATCTTTGCAAAAGCAACCAAAAATGGGACCACTGGGAATATGAACACATGGGCATCTCTGGGACCCGGGAAAAAATATCTGGATGAACAACAACAACCAAAAAAAAAAAAAGGGATAACTCAGAAAGCTGTCTGCTTTCTTTTAGAAACAGTTTGCACGAACACATATCTGAGATCCTGCCTTGGGTGGACAGGATTCTGTTCCTGAACTGAGTCTTGTCATGGCAGGAAGCGCTGTGGAGGACCCAGTGTATGGAGTCTGCTTTCGGCTGGGAAAAGATTCCTGTGGAGGCTAAGGTTGTGGCTTCATGGTTGCAGGTTCTGCTTCTTCCTCCTCCTCCATTTTGCATCTCACTGCAAAAAGACAAGGAGAAGTCACAGGGGTGGGGAGGGACTCGCATGCCTAGATAGGTATGGCCTTCAGAAACCAGAAACATGTAACCAAGGTCAGCTGTGCCAGAACCTACCTACCAAGCGCACCTGCTGTGCTTCTAGCCCCAGGAATCCTGCCCAGCAGAACACGGGGCTGGCTGTATTCTCCGGGAAGCATGAAATGGTCCCAGAACCATGTCCCAGGCTGCCCAGGGGACAAAATCCCCTCCTCAAGTACATCTGGAAACACCATGATCTGCATGGTTAAAGGGATCCTTTGACACAGACCCTTTGTTTGGAATTTGTTTTCCTCCCAACCCCAGGCCATCCACACAGGTGAGTGCCTGAAGGTGGCTTGAGTGAGGTCCCAGCCTTCTGTGGCTTGGTGAAGGGCAGAGACCAACTAAGTAGCAAGGTTGTCATACGTATGGCCAAGCTTTCAGTCCAGCCTACCCACCTGACCTCCTAGCTGCCACAGGCATGCACCGGCCAGATGTCAGTTCAGGGGTGGGGGATGTCCCCTGTCATATACAACGTGGTTGCTCAACTGGTCTCTCTAACTCCTGCTAACGTTGCCCTGGAAGGAGGGCAGGGTCCACAAGTGAACCACGGCAACACACATCAACTCATAGGAGCCCGACGGTGCACAGGGGAGGAATGAGGCACAGGGCAGTGTGTGTGGCCTGATTATGTCCCCAGCACATCTCCATGGTGAAGGATGCACACACACAGAAGAATGTGTTGCTTCACTATAGTTTGACTATCTCATTGTTTTAAAGGGATGAGATCTATTTTTCTTCTTGACATGCACTCTGTAGAGTGCTGTGCCTTTAAATTTTTCCTGTGTCCTGAACTAATGAGAGTTGGATCTGAAAACTGGCAAGACAGCTTAGCTGCTGCCTCCTAAATTTAGATCCTGAGAGTGAGTACAGTGGTGTGCCAGCAGTGCTGGAGGGGGGTTCCTGCAGGGAAGGTAGGGTTATTTGATGGGTGGGATGAGTCCTCTGAATGTCCACTAACAGAACTGGGGAGTGTGTGCTGTGTGCCATTGGCTGGGCCCTGGGTCGATGCATCATCTCTACATAAAAACCAATGACAGCGGAGTTCTCCAGAGCAGTTTGAGCTCCACCAGTAACACCCGTGTACTGTAACACCATGAGACTGTGAAGACATTTGGGGCTGGAGTTGGGGCTCAGCAAGTTAAACCACTATCTACAATGCCATCATTCCCTATGGGTACCTTCATGTGGGTACTTGCTCAGAACATTCTGGATGTTTCACTCCCCAGCCCACTCCCTGCTAATGCACCTGCAGCAGCAGTGGAAGATGGCCCGAATCCCTGGGTTCCCGCTACACAACAGGGGAGACAGGATAGAATTCCAGGCTCCTAGTTTCAGTCTAGCCCAGCGTGGGCCAATTGTGGGCATCTGGGGAATGAACAAGCAGATGGAATTTGAATCTCTCTATCACTCTACCTTTCAAATAAACTTCTGTTGAGAAACAGGAACTGTTACTGAATCCACTTGAAAGGTTTGCCATGGAGATGGACAGTCTGAGCTGTGTGACCAAGTCTCTGCTGTTGAACTCCTTGGGCCAACGCTGGTCTCTGAGTTAATTGCCAAGTAATGGCAAATGCTCCCTGTTGTCATCTCAGCAAATGTGAATAACTGACAAAACAGAATTACCTACATTTCTATTTTATAAAAATTAAAAATGTACAAAAATCAGCCAACCCATCAACTCCCTGCATTCCTTCTGCATTAGAGAGAATCCCTGTTGGCCCTTGGGGACAGTGGCCTGGGAGACCTTGTGTCTTTACCCATTCAGATGTTACAGGTTAGCAAGTATTTTCATTTTATTTGCTTGACTGGAAACAGTTCTCTTTGCTTTAGATTGGTCTTATCCACAACGAGTTGAATGGAGTGGGTCATCTGGCAGGTAGGCTGTGCAATGCAGACCCATTCATTGCACCAACAAATAGTTCCTGGACTTCCACAAGGCACAGAGCATGGTCCCAGGAGCTGAGAATGGAGCAGTGAATGAAAGAGGGAAAAGCAGGCCCTGCTGTCAGGGAGCTTTTCCAGTTGCTGTGACATTCTCCAAATGGCTGCACCTGCCAGGGTTGGGTCAAGCCGAAGCTGGAAGCTTACAACTTCATTCATGTCCCCCAAGTGGATGGCAGGAACACATGAATGTAAGCCATTCTTGGCTGCCTCCCAGAGCTTATGTCAGCAGGAAGCTGGATCAGAAGCAAAGTTGGGTCCAGTGTGATGGCTTAACTGGCTATTTTTCCACCTCTAAGTGCAGCATCTCATGTGGATGCCAGTTCATGTTCCGGTTGCTCCACTTCCCATTCAGCTCCCTGCTTGTAGCCTAGGAAAGTGAAAGTAGCAGAGGATGGTCCATGTCCTTGGCACCCTGCACCCATGTGGGAGACCTGGAAGAAGCTTCTCGCTTCTGGCTCCAGATTGACTCAGCTGCAGCTATTGTGGCCACTTGAGAAGTGAACCAGCAATATTAGATTTTTTTCTCTCCTCTCTGTAAATATGCCTTTCCATTGAAAATAAAGAAAAAAGAAAGCAGCAGTAGCAGAGGTGGGACTGACATATAGGCATACCATAATATAGGCATTCTATGAGATGTGGGCTTCTCAAACAGTGACTTAACTTGCTGTGTCACACCACCACTCCCGATAGCCTTGATAATAACAGATACTAACCTTATGTTCAACACTTTGCTTAATTAGAGTGACCGTTAATTGATCATTTATGAGGCAGGCACTTGTCCCAATGCATCTCCTGGGAAGTTCACTGTCAATAGTATCACATCATTGCCATACAATGCTGAGAAACAGAGAGGTTAAACCACCTGCCCCTGACTGCACAGAGGAGAAACCGGAAGCTCAACCCAATCTGCGCACGTGTTTCCTAGAGGTTGGCAGACTTACCTAGACCCCACAAAAGCCCTCTGCATCTATTACAGCCCCAAAAGAACATGGATGAAGGAATGAAACCAGTAGGGCTGGTACAGCCAGTTAGCATACAGTGAAATCCAGGATTTTTAACTTGAAGTGCCAACTATTAAGAAAGAAAAATCAATCTTCTGTTTTACTTTCTTGTTCAGCAGAACAGCAGGGCATTTCAGTAAAAGTCGCAACCTAGCTGCGTAGATTTTTGCACATTTTACAGAAAAAACTCTGTGGGTGAACGGATGTCACATGAACATTCCCACCCACTGATGAAACTTCAAAACAGAAAGAATACTACGAAGGCATCAAGTCATTAGCTGTCTCAAAATCAAATTTTTGTTTCTTTTGGGGAGTTAGGATGGAAAGGGAACTAAGGTTTGAGGACATATGGAAGGGAAAAATTTTTTTAAGTGAAAAAGATGACTTAGATTTGCAGGGATATGTATTTTTTAAAGCCATTGCATTATCAAAACAATGATCTCATTTAAAATTATCCCTGAGGCAAATTGGTGCTCAGTGTGCAGGCATGGAAAATGAAACCAACAGATTCCATCACTGAACAGCCCCATAGCAGGGCGGTGGCGGGAGGTACAAATTGGGGTGATGTTTTGGGGCCCTCACATGGTGACTGCTGCCTGCATTTAACATGTGTGTGTCCTTTGCCTCAACAATTCCCTTCTTGACATTGATCCCATTGGAAGTAAGCAGGGGTAGAACTACAAAGGTGTTCTGGAATCCTGAACACAGGCCAACTGTCCCTTCGTCGGGACTGTCCATAGGAAAGTGCAGCTCAGATCTCGCCTTCTTAGGGAGTTAGTGCTGGTAACGAGATCAGTCTCCAGGCACTGGCAGGAAAAGATCCAGGGTCACATCAGCAAGTGAAGAAAGCTGGCATACATAATATAGTGCCATGTTGGCACAGACATATAAGGGCACCACAGGAAGTTCACGGGAAATCGAATCAAAAGAGAAATTTGGGTCAAAGGGTTTGGAAATCCTATCAGGGATCTTTAAAACGTTCGTGGAAAATCTGTATTATGAAAATACTGCATGGATGTTAAAAATTCCCTGGATGTTTCTCTGTGTGTATATACACATATATGTGTATTTACATATTGTCAGGTGTTTGGAAAAAAAAATGTTTGAGCTGAGAACAAGCCTTTGGTGTAGTAGTTGAATCACCTCCTGGGATGGCCACATCTCAGAGTTTCTAGTTCGAGTCCATGCTCTGCTTTTGATCCAGCTTCCTGCTAATGTGTACTCTGGGAGACTTGGGTCCTTGTCACTCCCATGGGAGATTCGTACAGAGTTCTGGGCTCCTGGTTTCAACCCGGCCCAGCCTCGGCTAGTGCAGGTATTTGAAGAGTAGATCAGTAGATGCAAAACCTCATCTGTCTGTCCCTTTCTCTTTGTCTGCTTTTCAAATTAAAAACAAAATATAAACTAAAATTCTAAAAAAAAAAAACCTAAAGCATCTTGGTGTGGCCAAGATGAGCTCTTTTAAAGAGCGTCCTTCAAACCACAGGGAGAGCCTCTAAGCTGGGATTTATCTTTGCTGTCTGAGCTGAACATGGGGAAAAGAATGTTCTCTTGTTTCCATCCCTCCACCCAGGGCTTTGATTTTTCCCACTGGAAGAAGCAGACATCACTCTAAGGACTTGTGACACATAGGAGCAGAATGTCACTCCAGTGTCCCCTCCATCCCAGCTCAGCTCCAGGAATCGGAGTGCTTCCTGGAAGCGTTTTGGTCTTGAGGACACGCTGCACCAGCCATGAGCCTATTTCCTTTATGGCTGTGGCTTCTAGGAAGTTCAGAGCTGTGTTTCTATTCATTGTAGGAACATTTTCTGAGGTTGTTTTTCATGTTACACAATGCATTAGGGAAGAGCTTGGGATTTCCTGAACAACTGGTTTGTCTTTTTATTCTTCAGAATGATGTTCACACGTATTTTCCTGTTCAGCTCATCTTTCCCATTTGCTTTTGTCCCTGAGAAATCTTTGCATTGGCCAAAGA